GACTTTCAGCGTGCAAATTAAAGAATTTTTGAGCACAAGTTGCAAGTGAATGCTCGCACAACTTCTAATTAAAGTAATTCTTACCGAACTTAGCAAAAGGTATCCAGCTAACAGTTAGTTATTAATTAGTAACTGATTCGAACTCATTTTGTGCAGTCTGAAAAAAGTTCGCAAAACCTGCTAGCTGGATCTTTGTTCATGAAACTTCTCGTCTGCGAAGGCAGAGCAGTGAAACACAGTCATGGAATTAATTTTGACTAGTGCCTTTGGAATATTTTTCATATCACTCGTTTTAGGTGCATCTGTGAAGTTCTTAAAACTCCGTTCAAGATAGAAGAAAAGAACGCGAGTGGTGCTGATGTTGTTTGCATGGATTTGGGCCGTAATCGGTGGACTCCCGGGAAGGCGGACGCCGACTCGCAACTGGTCATGTCTGCTAATGTCTTGGCAGCTAGGTTTGAAATACAGCGATGTATCTTATCCGTTTCTTTCTTCTGCGTCTTTTTCAACAGATCATGCGCTACTTTTCTGAAAAAATTGAACAACCTTTTTGAGACATGTGCCGAGATAAGGTTTTTATGTATGGCTGAACGTAGGCCGGAACGAATATGTTTCTGTCATCTAAATATTCTTCGGAAAGGAAGTATACGGTGGCTGGCAGTAAATTAAGGGATGTGCCTTGTATATGAGCTTTTTCCAAAATCCTCAAGGCGGACGTTTTGGAATAATCAAAGGAGGTAACTAGCACAGTTGTTGAGATGAAGCAGTAGTAGCCTCAGAAAGATCTCCTTTCTTAAATTTCTCCACTATATTACAGCGATCAGATTTTTCTGTCCAGAATTTCGGGGAAAAGCTTTCCTCCAGACATTACTAGTCCCAATTTTGGCATCGTTTAGGTCGGATCTTTCAGATTATATTTCTTATTGTTGCGAATACATTTCGGTGATTATGCTTATAACTCCATTATTTGTTAAAAATTTAGGTGTATTAAAAAAAGCGATTCCATTACCTATGATTTTCTGCTATTCTTTCTGCATCAGTTGCCTTGTAATTTCAGGATATTTTATGATTTTTGTCGGGATGCTTCTTGGTGCAAGCAGGTGCAGGACAAAATTCAGTCGAAATTGGCTACCGTCCATGTACGTTTTGGTTTGTTCCCGGTTTCTGAAGCAATGCATGACACGAGACGCAATTATCACTATGCAGTTGCAACTGAAACCACCGGGAGATTCGGTGGAAAATCACTATTTCATTTGTTGGTGCAATTTTAAAAGTCAAATCAAATCCCAGCACAAATTTAATTTCCTTTTGCTCAGAAATGAATTCTGTTGGTCGCAGAGAATGTCGTCATATACACGTTACAAAATGTTGTTGTATACACATTTGAGGCTGATTTTTAGTCGCTGATTGGTCGTGGGTAAAAAGTACGATTACTTCGAAATGGGCTTAATACCACCGATCGTAGTGAACACTGTCATTAAACCGTGTTGGGGCAAAAGAAAACTTGGTAAAACTCAAATTGCTATTTGATGACTAATATCATTCAGGCTAGTCAGATTACGCCATCCTTGCTCTCTTTTTTAGTTGCCTTATTTTATTGAAACATTGGAGCTTTCCAATTTGGATTTGGGCGTCACGTCACCCGAAATCGTTGCCGTTTACGCACCAGTTTTGGATGACTGGGGTTTTTGGATCGACTTCGAGGTTGTTTTTACGCATTGAATCTTACAATACAAAAAAAGCGGTTCCATTGTTAGCAGTATTTATGCTGTGATCTCTTCGTTGCAGCTGAAGTACACTGGTGGCATACATTTGACGCTAGAAACGAAAGTTAACTTAATGAAACTGAAAGAGGGAATGCATCGGAACGAAATGTACAGAGAAGTATTTTTTTAAACTTTCTGGTGAATGAGTGTACTGATTGCTTCGGCGTGCCTTCCCGCCATATCCTATTTTTTAGGTGAGTAAGATGAAGAGCTCTGTTCGCGTTCATCATTATTCCGACTCGGATTTACCGGAATCGCCCGAGAGCAGCGCAGATGAAGACTTCGGCTCCAAAATGGAAAAGTTAGTTTTCCTTCCAGTTTTCGAACAACAAAACTGTGCAACATTTACCACTTCTGGAATAGTTGTTGTTGATTTCCTTGCCGCACATTTGGTTTCCAGACTACTGATTTTTTTTTTGAGATAATTATGCAAATATCTGTTGGGTCGACGCTTTAAATATTGTTTTAGGGCGTCTACAGCAAAAGAAAGTACTGGTAAAAAACTGTTGAATGTGGTTGACAAAATAGCCAGCAGTAACATATTTCAAGGTGCATCTGAACTAAAACCCGTCAAAAAGGTCCGCTTACCATTCGTTTTCTTTAGTAGCTCTTTCTGAATCTGAAATTTGTCATTGTTAATACATGCGACTGGGCTGGAATTAGGAACTTATTGTGATAATGATTAGTTTGCTGTCCTCGATGTTGTTGGGATTTCGATTTTTGTGAAACTCAATAGTGCCACGAATGAATGGGAAAATTCCTCTTCATTACACGATTAGATTAGAGGTGGGATTAGAATCTTAGAGATAAAAGGAAAAAGGGATGAAAAGGTAAATCGTGCCACTCTTTTTCGGTTCCTGAGAAGCGGAAAGTATACCCTAGTCACGAAGAATCGGGGCCAATAACAACAACAGCGATTTGAAACAATTTATATTTATGTGACTGAAGTAACAAAATCCTAAAAATTAGAGGCCGACGGTCGGATATAACATGTGCGACTTCTTTAAAAAAATGTTGATCAAGTGATCGATCAGTTTAGGTGATGGAAGAAATATCTTCGACTCGTTTACTGTTGAATGTTGATGTGACACGCCTGGAAGGCACTATGACAGTCAACATTCCG